CTCTTAGCAATATGGCTAGCCAAATCCATATTTCCATGTATTCTACATGCACCCAAGAGAGTCATCCAAACCATGGAATCTGGTTCAAAGGGCATTGATTCAATAAGATCTTTAGCTTCTGTAAGATTTCCAGCTCTACCAAATAGATCAACTCCACATGCATAGTGCTCCATTCGCAATGGAATCCCATAGGTTGGCTGAATAGATTTTAAAATTTTGGAGCCTTCTTTGACTAAACCACTATGACTGCATGCAGAGAGAAGGCCTACAAATGTTATGTGATCTGCTTTTACACCAAGTTCTTGCATTTTATGGAAGAGATCTAGAGCAATCTCACCTAGTCCATGTTGCGCGTACCCAAAAATTATTGAATTCCAAATCACTGAGCTATCTTTACAACTCTCATCAAAAGACTTTTTGGCATCAACAATGATCCCACATTTAGAATACAAGTATATCAATGAACTAGATACAAAGTCATTTGAACCGAAACCTGATTTCAGGACTAGACCATGAACTTGCTGACCGAACTGAAGGACTGCCAAATCTGAGCAAGAACGAAGAGTAGCGGAGAATGCATAGTGATCAATCCTAACACTTACAGCTTGCATGTGGCAAAAGAACTTCAATGCATCCTCACTGAACCCATTTTGTGAGAATCCAGTTAATATAGAATTCCATGAAACAGCATCTCTGAACTCAATTGAATTGAAGCACTTCACTGCATCCTCCACATTACAAATGTCATTGGACCTGATGTACATACCTATGAGAGCATTAGAAATTGAGGGTGCCCCTTCCATACCACTTTTAACAACTAATGCATGTAATATCCTTCCTTGGCTGATCTGTCCACACTCAAAGCAAGCACTTATCACACTAGTAAAAGTATAGATATCAAGAGCAATCCCAACATCTTGCATTCTCATAAACAGCTTAACTGCATCTCCCATGAAGCCATGGTCAGCATAAGCCGCAAGCATAGAATTCCAAGTTACCAAGTCTCTAATGCCCACCATGTCCTCAAATACCTTCTTTGAGTCTATAATAGACTGACATTCAGAGTAAGCTGTGATAGCTGCATTGTACACAATGGCATCAACCACCCAACCAAACTTAATTATCTTAGCATGCACTTGAACCATCACCTTGTAACATGAACGATCATTAAGCAAAGGTAACAAGCTAGCAAATGAAGATTCATCAGGTTTCAAACCTTCCCTCTCCATCTGACAAAAGAGCAAATAAGCAGTACTGGCATCACCTTCTTTAGCATAGCCTGATATAATGGTATTCCATGAGACAGTATTAGGCTCGGCTATCGACTTGAATGCCAAATGAGCATCACTTAAGCTACCACACTTAGCATACATGTCTACCAGTGCACTTCCTGAGAATACATTTCGATCAAGGCCTGTTTTCACGACAAAAGAATGCAGCTGGTTCCCTATAAC